CTCAAGTAGTAACAGAGGTCTTGTGGATTCAATCCCTTCTAAAGGAATTGAAAGTTCACCTAAACACTCCTATAGTGCTCTGTGATAATCTAAGAACAGTAACACTGTCTCACAATCCAGTTTTACACTCAAGATCTAAGCATATGGAACTTGATATCTTTTTTGTTCGAGAAAAAGTACTCAGTAAAGCTCTTGTTGTTTCACATATCCCTGCTCAGCATCAATATGCAGATGTTTTGACAAAGGCGCTGTCGCCCAAAAGATTTCTGTTTCTACGATCCAAGCTCAATGTTGTTGATCCATCTACTATGTTTCATCCCCCTTAAGCTTGTAGGGGGTGTATTAGAGAAGAGAATAGAATAATAAATAATTTTATTATTTACTGTATTGATCAAGTATATTTTTTGTTTTCTGTTAAGAGTTGCCAACTCATCAAGTTGGTTAGTTTGTTAGGTCTATATATTTTCTGTTTTCTGTTAAGAGTTGCCAACTCATCTAGTCTTGTGTGTAAATTACAGAAGTCCTTATATGGCCTCAAACAATCACCTTGCGCTTGGTTTGGTTGGCTTAGCAAAGTTATACAGGAGTTTGGAATGATCCATTGCAAGGCAGACCACACTGTCTTCTTTAGATGCTCACTAACACAAGTTTGTCAATCTTGTTTATGTAGATCATATTGTGATTACAAGTAATGATCAGGAGGGCATCAAGGCTCTAAAGCAACACTTATTTAAACACTTTCAAACTAGGAATTTAGGTCCCCTGTGCTATTTCCTTGGGATTGAGGTTGCTCAGTCCAAGTCCGACATTGCTATTTCTCAAAGAAAATATGCCCTTGATATTCTGGAGGAAACTGGACTTATAGATTATAAGCCAGTTGACACTCCCATGGATCCCAATGTGAAGCTTAAGCCGAATCAGGGGGAGCCTTATCCTAACCCAAGGAGATATCGAAGATTATTGGGAAAATTGAATTATCTTACAATGACCAGACCTGATACATCCTTTCCTGCCTGTGTTATAAGTCAGTTTCTTAACTCTCCTGTGAGAGTCATTGGCATACAGTTGTTCGGATCCTTAGATAGATCAAAGGATCACCAGGAAAGGGACTTGTTTACAGTGATAGAGGCCATGCAAACATTGTTGGATATTCAGATGCAGATTGGGCAGGTGATGCAATTGATAGACGGTCAACATCAGGCTATTGTGTTTGCATGGGTGGTAATCTTGTTTCATGGAAGAGTAAAAACCGAAGTGTTGTTGCACGATCAAGCACAGAAGCAGAATATCGTGAGATGGCTCACACCACATGTGAACTCCTGTGGCTAAAATTCTTAATTCAAGAGTTGTAGTTTTGCAAGGTTGATCATATGGACTAGTTTGTGATAACCAGTCAACTTTATACCCCTCCTCTAATCCAGTTTTTCATGAGAGAACAAAGCATATAGAGGTTGACTACCATTTCATCAAAGAAAAAATCCTCTCCAGTATAATCAAGACCTCCTCAGTTTGCTCTAAGGATCAACTTACAGATATCTTTACTAAATCTTTGTAGGGTCCTAAGATAACATATATATGTAACAAGCTAGATGCACATGATATATATGCTCCAGCTAGAGGAGAAGTGTTAAGATATTCTGTTTATATATAGTTTAGATATATTGGTTTATTCTCTCCTGATTTACTCTCTTGATTTATTGTATAGTTTCCTTAATTAGATTGATCATAATCCCAAAACTTTAGGGATTGATTTTGTTACATGTATATTTATTTGATTGTACTCATCAATTATTATAATAAGAAATTATTTAGATTCAAGTCTAATAAAAGGTTAAATTTCAACAAGGTAAGTTTGTACACACTTCCTGTGAGCGAGATGGCATGATAGAATTAATAGAATCATTCAAGCATCCTTTACCTAACAACTCAAAATTTTAGGATAGTTGATTCATTTGAGAAAAGGCTAAGACCTAACTCAAACCCCTAAAGCAAACTCAAAAGGGAACTAGCAAGGATTGTCCAAATAATCATAACATCATAAGGAATACTTTAGTCATATACTTGGCCAATTTTGAATCTTAACACACCCTCTTATCCACAACAAGTATTTCTTGGGAATTGAAGTTGCTTATTACAAGAAGGATATATTTATCTCTAAAAAAAAATGTCCTTGATCTTTTTAATGAAACAGAAAAGTTAGTATGCAAGACCTCAGGAGTTTCAATTGAAGAAAGCCCACCAATGGAAAAGTATCGACATCAGAAATTGGTAGGGTACAGGGAAGCTAATTTACTTATCACACACTATACTAGACATTGTTTATGTTGTGAGTGTAGTTAGTCAGTTCATGCATGACTTCCAAGAAAGGCATATATGCAAGCAGTTGACAAGATCCTTTAGTACTTGAAGTCAAGTCTACGGAAAGAATTATTATTCAAAAGAGGAGATAGTATGTCTATGGAGATATATACTTTGCAGATTACTTTTGTGATTTAGGAATTGGGTATCAATCTTCAGCACACATAACTCTTATTTATGATAAAAAAAAATAAAGATTTACATGATATGATTAGCTAAGATATGGTTAACCCTAATAAATTTCCACAATATTTTAACAATTACGCATGGTCAGTCATAGATAGGAGATCTACTTCTGGATATTGCATGTTCTTAAGGGGAAATTTGGTGACTTGGAGGAGTAAGAAACAGAATGTTATTGCTTAGTCTAGGACAGAAGCTGAATTTCAAGCCTTGCAAAGGGCATATCTGAAGGGCTATGGATGAAGATTATTCTCAATGACCTTAGAATTAAAATAAAGCTAACTATGAAGTTGTTTTGTGACAACAAATCAGCCATCAAGATTTCTCATAACCTAGTACAACATGACAAGATCAAGCATATTGAGATAGATAGACACTTTATCAAAGAAAAGTTGGACAATGGTCTTATTGTTAAAACTCACGTCCTTAGATAGGCAAGTTGGAAATGATTGATATTATTTACCAACTTGAGGGGAAGTGTTGTAAATAAGAATATCTTTGGAGATTTGATATTATTTTATAATCTTTTCTTATTTCCTTTATATTTGTTTATTTTCATAGTAACTTGTTTTAGGGGCAAATGTATCTCTATAATAGGGTAAGAAAAGAATGTAATTAGTGTGATACAAATTAATAAAATTCATTCTATAATATGGGATCCATGACACACCCTTCACACTAGGACTGAACATCTTAAGCGTGAAGTTTGTAGGAATGGGCATTTGTAGGTGGTCTAATAATGATCCAATGGCAAACAACATGATAAATCTAACAATACTCACTAGGATAGACTTTGATATCATCTTAAGAAAGTGGGTTAAAAGTCTAACTCAACTTTATAAACTGACTTGCAAGGTGGGGATTGTTCTCCACTCATAAACACTATTTTGGCCTCACCAGTAGTTGATGTGAAATCTCCAACAAGTGTCAACATATAGGATGTAACATAAACCCAAAGTACTACAAAGCACACCAATGTCCTTATTGGATGTTACATATTAAGGTAAAATATTACTATAATACATTTTATTCATCAAACACTTAGACTTCTGGGGATGTTGCTAGTGTATGTGGACACTATAATTGTAATAGGTGATGATTGAAAAGAACTAGTTTTGAGCCAAACTCCAGTAGAGTAGATAAAAACTCTTGGGAGGCTAAAGTATTTTTTTGGGAATTAAAGTGTCTCAATCCTAGGTATTTTCACATCTAAATAGAGACATGTTATAGATTTACTCCAAGACAAAACAAGTTGTAAACTTGTGACTAACCCCATATATTTAAAGCCTCAAACCTTAAATTGGACAATACAAATGGTATTGCAACAATGGATAACAAGATATCATCATTTGGTTGGAAAATTAATCTATCACACAAGGTTAGATGTTGCATTTGTTACAAGTTTAGTTAGTCAATTTATGGATTTCCTGAGAGGTCACTCATATAGGCCACTCAAGATTCTGCAATACCTTAATGGAACCCCTGGAGGAACAATTTTATATAAAAGGAAGGGAATGCAATTCTTGAAGCTTACATTGATGCAAACTCTAAAATGTCGATGCCTGACTAGAGGTTCACTACTAGATAATGCACCATTTATAAAGGAAATTTAGTGTCTTGGAGAAGTAAAATGCATAATGTTGTGACCTGGTATAGTGCTGAAGCCAAGTTTTCAAGCTTTGGCACATGGTATTTGTGAGCTACCTCGGCTGAAAATTATTTTAGAAGACTTAAAGATTAAATGGGATGGATCTATGATCAAACAAAGTATGCAGAAGTAGATAGGCACTTTATCAAGGAGAATTTCAATTAACACTTGACTTGTACTCCATATGTATCTTCACCAAGTCAACTTGCAAATATTCTTACCAAAGGTTTATGCAATCCAAATTTTGAAAGAATTGTATACAAGTTGGGAATGGAAAACATCTCTCCAGCTTGAGGGAGGAGAGTGTTGAAAATAAGATTACATTAGGAGATAAGAGCTTCTTTAATGTTGATTTTTTCCAAGTAGCCTAGATATTTGATATAGTTAGGTACAATGCATCTTAAATGGTGATATCTTAATTGTTTTCTTGTAAATTGTTTTGGCTTTAATTATTTTTGTAATATTCTTGAATATGATTAAGCCCATTCTTCTAGACAAAAAACTCACTCAAGTACATTCAGTAAAATTTCCTTTCACATTTTCTCACAATCGAGAAGAGAGACTTTGCTCAATATTCTATTATGTAATGAAGTGTATTACAACATATTGATATGTTCATAAAACCTAGAGTACTAACCCTAGTTTATACTTTATAATATGTCGAATCATATTCCTAAATAATTAGGGAAACAAATCATGATAAGAAAATAGTGGTAACCAATTCTTAGAGATAATGAGGAAATAGAGAAACTAATGTTCGAGAATAATGCAAGATATGATTTTGGATATTTCCATATATTCTAATACTTACCAACATTGGAGCCCATATAACACAAATTAATACAAAAAAAAGGCATATCCCATTGCAACATTTGGTCATTTTCGTTTGCTTCTCTCCCTGTTTGTGTGTTGCTCTATTCAAGACTGAATCACATTTGACAAGGTACAAACTTGCATTTATGTCCTCCAGCTATCAAAACAGGGAAAATATGATGTCAATTTCTAAACTAGGCAGCATTTAGAAGCAACAAAAAAAAAAGTTAAACTAGAAACATAAGCTCTTCCAAATGGAATTTCACAGCGCTTAAGTAGAAAAAGCAAACTAATTTAAAAAGTGCTGCTAACACTGAAAATCAGATAGCTACTAATCTTCTAAAAGACATTCAAAATGCAGAATAATGAAAACAAATCCTAATTTCCCATCTAACAATATAGTGTATGAAATGAAATAAAATAACAATTTTAATATTGCTTCAAAATACAATTTAGGAACAGTGGCAACCATCTCAAATTATATATGGCTCTTCCAAATAAACAAATCAGATTATACTCAACAAAGTATTCCCATTTTATTCTGAAGACTGGAAATTTTGGTTAACCACCATATATGGTTTTTCGTTTTGCCCTTCCATTTAGAATAGTTGGTGTTACTAAACATATATAGTGATATAATATCTATGGTCATTGTTACAGATATTGTGAATATATTACAGATATTGTGGATACATATATTATGGTTATTATCCTCACTATCAATTAGGGATATGATTAGATTAGTTTCCATAATATAAGAGATTAGTATCTCTATCATTTATTGTATTCACTCTATAAATAAGATTGGTGTGTACAACAATACACACAATTCCTGAATCACAACATGGTATCAGAGCTTAGGTTTTTCTTTTAGAATATATTTTTCTCTCTTCTTGCAAAGGCCCTTGCTGCCACCTCCGGCTGCCGCCGGCCACCGCACCGGCGG